AATAGCTTTATCTAATATTTTATTTCTTCTTGCACATATGAAGGGAAATCGTACTGTGATGATACAGTAGGTAACATCCCACTTAAGCTAGATGATGAAATCTGCAAAGTAAAATGTAAAATATGTCCCGAATATAAGGAATTCTTCAAGCAATCCACAGTGTTGCGTATTTTTATTGTCTTGAGCATCGTAATGCACAGCTTTCCTGATGTGTTTTTACATTATCTCTCTTTAAAATTCCGATGATAACTATAGTCGAAATCACGGGAGATGACGATTACGTCATCATTTTAGTCTGTAGTAAAGACAAACGACAGCGATTTGTGAATATTTTTAATGAAGTTTCAGATATGTTAGACAGAGACAAACAGAATTTTATATATTTTTACCATGAAAATTTTCACAAGAATTCTTTTACGTGTAATACGACAGCAAAAATTTTCGGCATAATTATGACCATAATTTTCAGAATAATTCTCTTGTGTGTAAAACGGCTCTAAACAAAATGTATTCTAATTTGCATGTATCTGACAAAGATAGACGATGTTTTCATGTTGCATCATCGATCATATTTGAAAGATGAACAGTTAGGTTATGTTAAAGCAGGTTAGGTAGTTTTCGATTAATACTTTCGTCTTTGGTGCTCCTGTCTTGAGTTATTCTACTCATAACTGTTTTTTTCAAAATAAAAACTCCCCACTAAAATTAATATTACGGTATCACTCAAAACCTTGAAGTAAAATGAAAATAAAAATAATCAGTGAAATAACGTAACTTCGCAAAATCATAATACAAATTTGTTGCCATTATGTTCCTGACATCGTGATTTTATCATCGACGTACGTCCATTGATTACTTCAGTACAGTTTATGGTATTTCGTGATTTTGACTATATATTTTCATGTAAGCTACTGAAGTCATGTTTAAAGGTTTGAGAGGTTATGCTGATGTTACAAATGATATTACATGGCGGTCAACGTTTTTACCTGTCTAGGAAAGATGTATTGTTATACTAAGGTTTAAGGACTTTTAGGTTAAAAAAATTATAGTATTAACTTTTTTGCTCTTACAGAATAAATATTATCTATTTAAGAGCTACGTAAAGAAAGTCTTAATGGCTACATATGTAAATATTTAAAATGACAAGGTTGCTAGGAGCAAAGAGCATAGTGAGTGAAACATCATCGGACAGACAGTAAAACAGGTGCGGTCTCTATGGCGAAATGTATGTCATGTGGTGTAAACTGAGGCCTGGAAAAGTTGCAAACATCACTCTGTCATGATTTGTCAGATCAAACGATAATTGTCAGTTTGAAATTCAAATTGTTCATAACGTAAAACCCAGATCTGTGATAGAAATGGAATTCGGTAGTTTTGCGCAGAAACCAAATAAGCTTAAACGCTGAAAGTGAAGACGAATCTATGCAGCTGAGGTTGGTTTGCTGGTAATGCAGTTGGGGTAAGGGGGAGAAGAAAGTCTCACCTCATTAAAACCGAGTTTTGTTAAAGAGAACGCGCTATAAGCTGAGCATACTGAAGTGCGGTGACAGTATTGTCCTTTCCACGAGTATCCAATACGTGAAAAGTGACAGCAAATAACAGTTTTGTAACACTTCAACCCCATATCGACATGGGACACTGAACTCTTACAGATATGTCAACGCTAGATCTTTAGACAAAGTCGTATTTTGTTTCGATAATCACAATTTTCTTTAGAAAAGTTCTTTCACACAAAAGAAAAAATGTTTCAAGCAAAATGACTGCTAATTTAAGTCAACAAAGAATAAAACAAGATAAACAGTTTTTGGTATAATCATTTCTGAATAGGATTCTTTTACCCGATTCATTATTGCTAACACGACAGACTAATCATTGATTAAGGTATTCTACATGGAGCCAAACTAATACTATATTCGCGCGTTCGAAAAAGTATCTAGAGGTTCTATAAATAGTGAAGTATATATGCATACAGCTACAGCGCTACCTATGAGATATTACCTTTTTCAAAGTATATTTCAAATAATTGCGGAGAGGAAAAATGAGGCTGTGTCAGATTCTTAACTGTGTAGACGGCGCTACACTCATTTCATGTCGGATAATTTTTTGGACACGCAAATACAGTAGGTATTACGTATTAGGTTCGAATAATACTGTGAAGTGTGGTGTTGGTGAACATAACTTTTCGCCTCAAGCAGAATATTCTGAAATTCCTCTCACAAGAGACCTTAATATATTGTATAATTTGAATCCACTAGGATCACAACACCCTAAATCCACTTTAGCTAAATGTGCAGGAAAGCAAAAAAACATTTTAGCTAACTTTTGAATTAACATATATGACGAGATATGATTTTTAGGATTCCTAATAATCATATATTCAGTAATATAATGTAAAAATACAATATTCTTTAGGCTGAAAGTGGCAATTTAAAAAATAAAATCGGATTTAGTGCAGTTTGCAACCAAACCATGGATTTAGTGGAATATGAAACTGTCTAATATGGATTTAGTGGATTTTGACGTGGATTGAATTTTATTTTCAAGATTTAATAATACTAGGTATGTAGGAAAAAAGTGTTACCTTTATTTTTAACAAAAAGTATTGGAACAAAATCAAAACAAAACATGTTTATGAAATGTTTCAGCAAAATAAACGGCACGCGTTAAACTGATTAGCACATTCGGAAAACTCAAGAGTTAATTTCGGAAAAGAAAAAAAGTGATGATCTATACTACAATCTAAACTAATACATCTGGAACGTCTTCCATTCTTTCACAAAGCTCAGTGTTTTCTGAACTACCTTGCTCAGCCTCTTCTCCTTCATTTCCGTCATTGGTTGCTCTGTTTTCTACTAAATATTTTTCAAACACATTTTTATAATATCCTAAGCAAGTCAATCCCTTCCATGCGGTGCCATAATGTTTGGTCAAGAGCTTAGCTACATCTTATAGTTTTGCTTGTTTTGGCGGTATGCCACTACCTATTGGGAGCGGATTTAATGATTCGAGATTTTTTTTGGTTTGCATACGGTCTTGTAGACTCCTAAGTCTGACCAGTAACTTTGCTCACCTCTTACTGTGACTGTATTGTTTCTTCCTTTTTCCAACAGAAACCTTTTAACCATATTGAATTTAATATGCCATAGGGCGGGTGGTTTCAAAACTGCCCTAGTTGCAGACTTCCAGTCAAAAACAGCTACATCCTTGCCTAACTCCACTACGCAACCATGTTCCTCAAAAATGTTGAAATATTCTTTGGGCTCTATGATTTGGTCCTGTCACCTTATCTTCTTGTCAATGCCTGCGAAGACCTTATCTGGAGGTATAAATGAATGCCCAACAACTGGAAAGATCAGTTCGAGTTCATCAACTGACGAAGTACTTAACCATTTCAAGCACATACCTAACATAATTGTGTTTTTATTCTGACCTCCACATCCATCAGCCATGAGTCGTATTTTCCTTATGCCATTAATATTGCTATTATTCAGCGTATAAAACACTGCAGACGCAATCTCGTTAGCTCCTTTCGCATGTTGGTTCTCCGTCCAGGCAAATATTCGCACGTTTTCTGGTGTCAGCTTAGAATGTTAATCACCGGTTACAGTTGTTAAATTATAAAGATACAGTTGTCGACTATAATACACGCTTTGGTCAGGTATTTTTGGAAGCATGAGATTCTTTTGACAGTCAAAACTCATAGTCAATAAATCGTCTCGTTTTTCTCGCAACAGAGCGAAAAAGGCTTTAGCGCTGGCGCCTCAAATTCTGTGACCGGATTGGCTGAACTGGATTTAGGGGCGTTTGAAAATTAACATGGCTGGATTTAAGGGACTTTGCAACTGAGGTAGCTTTTTGATGCCATTTTTACTATAGATTTAGAGCGACTTGTCCCTAAATAGTTATAGTGAACAGTAAGGAATGGTTTGAAGAATATCAAAGTGTATTTTACTCATTTTTGGTCTGAAGTGGATTTAGGGGGTTTTGATCCCAGAGGATTCATTTTGTATGGTAAGATTTCTCTTTCTGTCAGCCCGTTGTTAAATGCTACTGATTCTTGGTAGGTAGTCTTGGACAGTTTTGGGTTCTGAATTGGAGTATAGTGAAACTGAATTTTGAAGTAAAAGATGTGTGATTCGTGAGCCTTAGGGTCATATTGACATCGAATTGTGAATCTACCAGCAAATTCAAATAGAATAGGAGAAGCCAAGCACATACGTTTACTTTGATTGTTGCGTAGTTTTAGTGCATACTTTGGACTTATTCGAAAAGCATTCACTATCAAAGTGACAATGATTTATCAAGATCACAATAATACTTACCGGTGAAAAGACCTATCTTCATTATGCTTGTTCTGCCATTTGAAAATTATGTAAGAAGTAGCTGGCCTTGCATTCATCTAACAACACAATTATCTGCAAACACTCTAACTTTTAAAAAACAACACTAGAACTACGAATTTAATCACAGAACTCTCAAAAAATTGACTCATGCCAAGTGATCTAAGATCCATACAGACTATGAGAAGAAGGAGACAAACAAATCCTTGAATGGCTTAACATATCTGAGAACCAATTTTCTTCCACAAGTACGCTAGGAATTTTGAAAATATCCTCAACCCCAAAATATTACAAAAACTACCAACCTACGGTAAAATTTCAGATCTGGAAGTTACCATTCGAAGCATTTAATAATACTGTACTTTTTTAAGTATGGTGGTGCAAGCCGTGAAATACTCTCGTTAGACATAATCATATGGTGTGAAAAGAATTATTAACTACACAAGCACTCAAAATCTAGGCCTTACGAGTTATGAGAGCAAATTTTTAAAACGCCTCATTTCAAGTAAACCCTCGTACCTGCATTTATCGGAAGGTAGTATTAATTTAAGCATAATAAGATTTGTAAACGTCTGCCCACATATAGATATTCTTATGATAAAACTGATTTGTTTCAAATGGATTATTTTTTTGTTCATGAAGCGCAATTTTCTTTTTCAGTCTGCTAGAGCCCCTTTGCCGGTCGCGAAGGAAGAGGAGAAGAGGAGCTTTTCCACCACCAGTGTCGGCACGACCTCTTACCTCCTCCGCACCCCTGAACACCCCTTCATAATTCCTCTTACCCCTTCTTTCACCCCAACACTCGGCATCGCCCGTTCTTTGCTTAAACAGGGTGGCAATAAATGACATGTCTGTTCCTCTAATGTCTTTAAAATGAAATGAAATCCATCTTCTTTTTTTTTTATTTTACGTTATATGGCCCAGACCTAAGCCCCTTTGATTACGTTTTCCATTACTGCTTAGTAGGTTTCGGGGAGGAATTAAGATTAATAATAAATTTTGAATAGCTTCCCTGATATTGTTCTCTAGCTGCTTTGTAATGCTTGATTTGTTGATATAATCCATAAGGGGGAGATAAAACATCCTGAAATGATTCTTCTCATAAAATTCATCGTTTTTCAGTTCTGTGACACGTTGGCTTATTCCGGAAAAACTACAGTCCTTGTAGGTTGTTTTCTAATTTTTTGAACGATAAAGTCTTGCGACATATTGCGCTAATGTTCATCAATGACAGTAACCAATTTGGCTTCCAGGATTACCAGATCTAACTGCCGCATGCCCAATTATTAAGGTTTATTCCAACAAACCAAGCACTACAAAGCAACTGGAAGGCAATATTTAGTTCTAAATTTAAAGAATCAGTAAAAACAGGGTCCATTTTATTTCGTTTTAAAGATATAGGATGAACAACTCGGTCGGATATATATTGACTACCCGGTATTTTAGAACGCCTGGTATCCGTGAGGGGTTGAGAGAGCAAAGGGATGGTTCGTAAGAACGAGACCGGGGAGGGAAATAAGGGGAAGTAGCGAGAGGGAGTGGCCTACCATAAGAAATCAATGATTCCGCCGGCACCCTTAGAAGAATGTCTCCTGCGGAGGGGCACCTGATGCGGACCAGCGCCGGAGGAGAGACGAAAGGGGAAGGAAGGTTTTTGCGGGGCACGACAGGGGAAAAATGTGGGGTTCATCTTTGGAGATGCAAGAAATTTGTAATTTAAATTCGGAGCTTAACTCGCTTTGCTTCCAGACCTTGAAAAACTATATGAAAGTCCGCAGGATGATGAATTCTAAATTGTCAGAAAAATAGTATGATAAAGCTTCAGAAAGCAACAAAGCTCTATAAAAAATGTGTCGCTCGATTTCAATGATGAACATATCGTTGTAGAAGATCCTTATGTCAAAACAAAATGTATTTTTCAAAATCACAGTTTTTTTGTAGGTCTTTTATGGTCTAAAACGCACTACTGGCAGAAGTGTAGCTTTTAGGAAACTATAACTTTTTTGAAAGCACAAGTAGCATTGAATATTGTGACACGATTTCTGTTTCGATTGTACAAACTATTTCCTTATTTCTACCTCATCATATTGCACCACCTTTACCGCAGTAGGTGAAAAAGTTAAAAAAAAAATTCCAAGAAATCGCAAAATCACTGAACTTCTCTTGTCACTTTTAGGTGTAAAATTTAGTCACTGCCGTAAAAATAGCAAAGAAGATGTTGGTAAGCCTCCCCGCCCCCTAATTTTTTTAATCGAAATATGTTTATGAGCTCCTCTTATAGAGAAGACTAATTTCAAGAAAGTGCGAATGTTTTCAGTTCACATTAATTGTTAATTCTGAACTTAGGAATAGCTTCTTACCACAGTTCGTCAGTCAAAATGCACTTTTATTGGTTATAGCTTTAACTTCTTTTTTATAGTGTTAGAGATAACATTCCTCCGATAACTTTGCTGAACATAGGCTTTAAATTATAAATTAAATTATATTTTACTATAACGTTTCAGTTATAAATTATCGCCCAAAAGCTTTGAACGAAATGCTTCAAAAGTTGCTACCACAAGTATCAGTGTCAAACAAAAATTAAGCTTGGTACCAGTTTACTAGTTTTTACAATTTAAATTCCAACCTCAGATGGGGCAAACAATTTTTGTTTCTTTTTATTTTTTAATTAATTTAATTTTTTATTATGTGCGATGAAAGGGTGATAGACATAAACGTTTCGTTAATGAGAGAAGTGCTTCTGCCGAAGTTGAATGTAAAAAATAGATTTTGGAAGTAATTAAGAATCAGGATGTTTTTTTTCCATTTTGTAACTTACTGCTGTTAATTGAATCAGCATTTTCTCTCAATAAAGGGGCGTGAGGTTCTTGCGAATTTAGATAAGTACTAAAATATTACTTTATATTCTGTAACAGCTAAAAGAGCATACTTTAGCTTTAGAAAATAACATTTCTTATAAGTAACAATACTTATTTGAAAATACGTAGCTGTTATATCGCTTGTTATATTTCATAAATATTTCAAGGAAGCTGTCTGAGTTTTTAAATTTCTCATTGAACAATTTCATCTATGGATTAGTTCAAGAAATCTCACTAAATTCTGTTATCGGTGACAATTACTTTAGAATTGCTTTTTTCTATAACGTGCAGAAAAGTTCTTCCAAAGCAGCTCTTTCTTATTTTCATAAAGACGATACGGTTCTTTGGGAAGGAACTATTATATACCTATAATATATTTCTTTTTTTATCACCTGCCCCTCCAATGTCGCTACGATGTCTAAACATTTATAAGTATGATTTTAAATAAGACGAAACGTTTAACCGAAGAAGTCTTGCCCTAAAGAAGCCATAATACTATCCATTAAGGATAACAACCCTCAGAGACCTACCGTTGCCAGCACCTTAAGCTTTCATCGCCGTAATCCCTAAGCACCCTAGCAACTACCCACTTTTCATCATTTAAACATTATCGGAGTTACCAGTAGCATGGAGCACCTGCAAAATTGCAAGGAGACCTCCCCTTTGCTATACCGGCTACAAATCACGGAACAACAAAGTATGTTTCGGAAATTCCACCCCGAATATTTGCCTCCCTTTTATGCAACAATAATTTCGCGTTGCACCCCCATAATTTGAACTCGGATTACTTGAGGACGGCGCGGTGGTAGTTTCTGGAATAGATTTCTGACACGAAAACCATCAGATTTATTACCATTGCCTTCCGAAACGCGAAAGTTGTCTTATTGTTTATTGACGCCTCAGAGAAGAAAAGGTTAAATCGTACCGAAAATTAAAAAAATATAATTTTTTTCATGGCTTGTCGTAAACAAATTTATATCGCTATCTAACCAAACTATAAAATAACTGTATAAGAAGTCTTGAAAACGGGGTGGAATTCCGATATTAGTTTTTGTGTCGGTACTTTTGAGCTCATATTCATATTGATTATAAAGTAAGTTCAATTTAAATCGTCTTGCAAAAGAAATAATATTGCCAGATTTTGTAGCATTTTGATTGATGTTTTAAAACCTAATCCAAAGCTTCATTTTGAAGAGGAATATCTAAGGTAGTATTGATGTCTCTGGGATTCAAAATACATATTGGACACCATATTCTTAACGACGGAAATATTCAGTAACACACCTAATAGTTGGAGGTATAGTAAGGCTGAATTAATGATAAATAATTGTTAATGGACTATGATCATTGCTATCATGAATAAAATAAGCGCGTTCAAAAAGTGGGTGTACCGAAGAATTCTAAAAATACCGCGATCCAGAAACATTAGAAACAAAAAAAGTTCTTCGAAACGTGGATCTTGGTTATTCAATTAGGGGTCCAAAGATATGAGTTCCTTCGACTAATTTTCAGCGGCAATATCAGAGGGAAGCAATTCATAGGTCAAAAGAAACTATGTTTACAGCAATGGACAGGTTCCTACACGTAGCTGTAGACTGTGACCGATATGTCAATCGCAAACATCCCATAAGGGCATGAATCCTAAGAAAAAAATAGTAAATGGTTCATAAATTCCAATTCCGATAAATATTACAGGTGACATAAGGGACAAAAAAGTAATAACAGCTTTTTAGACGTTATTTTATATGATTATAACGAATTGAAATTATGTGTCTCATAAGTGGATATACACTTTAGCTTCTCTGTGTTCATAAATTACTTTTAACCAGGCACATAATAAGTTATAAGTAAGATTAGCAGAAAATATCACACACCTCAAATCAGCCCTTGTCCCACTACTGAAATCAATTACTTTAAAAGCCTTCCAGAAAACTTCAAAACAATAACTAATAATTTTCAGTCGTAGCGAATTGAAATAATTGTTCCAAGTTAGATGATTCCTCCATTACAACCATTATTCTTCAAGCACCAATGTTTTGGAACAACAGAGTTATCTAGTTCACTTTTCATCTTACCTATTCAAGTTGAAAAATCGAGAATAGTAATCATGCATACCCGAAAAAAACATTTTTGACCATCTTGAAAATTGATCTTACTAACTTTAAATTATCCGTGGTAGCTTGTAATTTCCTTGGAAACTTGCCGTATGGGCAAAACTTAAATAATATTATGTACATGTTGCAAGAAAAAGGTCTTACAAAAAAGATAATGGCTAAATTTGAACAAAATCATTTTTCGTACGATTCAAAGAGTAAGTGTTATTTTAAACTGTGTCTGTAGTCTAGTAGAATTGCATCAATTTCTCATTACTTGGAAGAATGAGAAAGTACTGAAGATATGTACAAAGCTTTTTAGTATCATGAAAGCTTAATTCCCAAAATAAGCTACTAGCAGAAATTTAAAATCGGACATCAGATCTGCCAAATCCAACAGTTTCAGAAATGAAGCAAAATACCTTCAAATTAACGTTTAAAATACTTCAAAAGGTTCAGGAAAATTCAATTAACGACGTGACATATCTGCTGGAAATTCGATAGGTATACGATATCTAGTTTAATATTTTCATATAGTCACAGAAACTGGACTGGAGAGTGGTTCAAACTTGCATCTGTTCGGGAACTGATGTATGTTATATCTAAAATGTGAAACCAAATAGGAACGAAAAAAGTGATCGGTACTGTTGCAAATCCCATGTATATGAAGCATTAGTCAATTTTATGTATGCTATTACGAATCTCGAAAAACTAAAACGCCTTTAAAAATGTTCATTTCGGGAAACAGGTAATATCGGAAATCTCTATAAAACTCAGTGTAATAAAATAACATCAAACTGTCAGTCAGATCCACGAAATGCCAAACTAAATGGAAAAAGTTATATAGAAACATTTAATCATTAGCCAATTTTATACATTGTGATGCTATTATGAATCTCAAAAAACT